GATGTCAACGCCGCCATCGCCACCATCAAGACCAAGCGCAGCATCCAGTTCGTAGACTGGTGCCCCACCGGCTTCAAGGTGGGCATCAACTACCAGCCGCCCACCGTGGTGCCCGGGGGGGACCTGGCCAAGGTGCAGCGCGCCGTGTGCATGCTGAGCAACACCACGGCCATCGCCGAGGCGTGGGCGCGCCTGGACCACAAGTTTGACCTGATGTACGCCAAGCGAGCCTTTGTGCACTGGTACGTGGGGGAGGGCATGGAGGAGGGCGAGTTCTCGGAGGCGCGGGAGGACATGGCTGCCCTGGAGAAGGATTATGAGGAGGTGGGGGTGGATTCGGTGGAAGGAGAGGGTGAGGAGGAGGGAGAGGAGTACTAAGGGTTCACAGCGTTCTTGCTCTTGCTCATGCAGACAACAAAGCTAGTTATCCCCCCCGTCCCCACGGGTCTGTAGCAGTGTGTGCTGCTGTCTGTGCTGTTATGCTCTGTGGTTCAATGGCAAGTCTGTTACAGACCCACCCTTCTTCTCTTGTGTGTCTCAATGAATAAAAAGCATTCCCTGTCTTAAGCTCTGTGTCTGGTTGTTCTGTGCTGCGATGTTGGGATAACCATGTTTACCCTCACTCTGGTGGTGGTGCTGCTGGGGGTGGGCTGAGCTCAGCACCCTGAGCCCCAGCTCTGTCCATGGCCCCCAGTGTGCGGGGCAGAAGATTGGGGGAGAGGGGGGAGAAGATGTGGGTGGGAGGCGCTGGGCTGCGGTCATTCATGAGGTTCTGTGGGAGCCGCGTGTTTTTATGAATGGGAGCCGCGGGTTCATTCATACCCCTGGGTGGGCAGAGCGCCATCCTGGGGTCCTGTGGCCTAATGGGGGGGGGTTATAACTGAGAGCATTTCTCATCCCCCTTGAGGGGGGGGGCACAGGTGACGCCTCACAGCAGAGGGATGGGATCACGTTCCTTGCCTGCACTCCATCCTTTCATCTTCCAGTTTGTACTGATGATGGGGGTTCCCTCAATCCAGGTGTAGACCCTGTGTTGGGTTTATTGAACTTGATGACGTTCCCTGGGCTCACTGCTCAGCCTCTCCGGGTCTCTGATGGCATCTCATCCCTCTGCTGTGTCACTGCTCCCCACAGCTCTCATCAGCAACTGCTGTGCTGAGGGAGCACCCAACCCCACTGTCATGTCATTGATGATGTGAGTACCAGCCCCAGCGCTGTGGGTCACCACTCATCTCTGGTCTCCATCCAGACATGGAGCCATTGACCACCCCTCTCTGGACTTCATTCTGCAGGCAGTCCTTTGCCCATCCAACAGTGCACCCAGCAAATCCATGTCTTTCACACTGGACAGAAGGATGTTGTGGGGTGCTGTGCCAAAGGCCTCACTTTAATCCAGATGACATCCATGGCTCTTCTCCACCGATGCAGTGACACCATCATCAAAAACAATTCTCTTTCTTGTTCTTTTATTCCTCACCCTACAGACCAGATGTGACAAACAAGTGTGCTCTGAGAGCTCAGCTTCTACACCTGAACAGTGAGGACGTACCTGTGCAGTACATCAACATGTACTCATTCTTTCCCAGTAACTCATTAATGTGTGCTAATGACCCTCTGGCCATGAGCGGAGCACCTATGGTAGTTTTATGCCCAATTTCTCTCCCCATTTTCCCCCATCAGATTCATCTTAGAGATTTTTGCAGACCTTGAGTTGTTTTTCCCCAGCTTGGCAAACTTCAGTGGCTCGTTAGGCCATGATGAGCGACTTCCAAAACAATGTAATGAAATCCAAGGCAAATGTCCTTGCCCATGGTGGGTACAAAAGATAAAAGGCGTCTGTTGTGACTGCAGTGCTTCTTGTGAGGCAGAATGAAGAGAAAACAAGGCTGATCGCACAGCAAAGTGGGAATAAGATGCTTTAGGACCAGAGCCTCCAGGACAGGAAGGACTTGGAGCTCTTAGATCAGGTCCAGAGGAGGGCACTGAGATGATCAGAGGGCTGAGCAGCTCTCCTATGAGGAAAGGTTGAGGGAACTGGGATTGTTCAGCTTGGAGAAGAGAAGGCTGTGGGGAGACCTCATTGTGGCCTTCAGTACTTGGAGGGAGCAGATAAATGGGAGGGGGAATGGCTGTTTGTGAGGGTGGGTGGTGGTAGGACAAGGGGGAAGGGTTTTAAAGTGAGACAGGGGAGGTTTAGGTTGGATATGAGGAGGAAGTTTTCATCCAAAGGGTGGTGAGGCACTGAACAGGTTGCCCAAGGAGGCTGTGGATGCCCCATCCCTGCAGGCATTCAAGGCCAGGCTGGATGTGGCTCTGGGCAGCCTGGGCTGCTGGGTGGCGACCTGCACACAGCAGGGGGTTGGAGCTGGGTGAGCATTGTGGTCCTTTTTAACCCAGGCCATTCTGTGATTCTATAACTCCTTTTGCTTAAAGGCATACGTTGGCCCTTACACTGAGATACTGATCCATACTGCAGAACAAAGCAGCTGCATCAGCACCCAGCTCCAGGTCTGCTGCTGGGTGCCCCCCCGTGGTCTCCCCAGGGTCGGTAGAAGTCTAAAGGGGGGCTGGGGGGGCCCACAGAGCCCCATTACAGCCCGGGGGGATTCACCCATGGGCAGGGGGAGCAGCGCTGTGTCCCCGCAGTGCTGAGTGCCCCCATTGTGCCCGCAGCCCCTCCCGATCCCCATCCCCAGACCCGTTTTGCTGCCCAGACGGGGGCTGCACCGCACTGTGGGGGGAGGGGGAGAGGGCAAATCTCCCACCCCGCAGTTTGGAGGGGGGGGGGAACGTGGAGCGCGCCACGAGGCTCAGCCAATCAGCGCTGGTGGTGGTTTGATGGGCGACTCGACAGCCAATGGGAACTCGGTGCGCAAGCGCGACCCGCCCCCCTTTCTATATATAAGATCGCTCCGAGGGGCTGCAGCCTGGAAGTTGTGGGGGCTTTTTGCGTTGGGCTGGGCTGCCGCAGCCATTGTGTGGGGCGGGGGGTCTGGGGGGTGCAGGGGATAGGATTCTGGGATGGGGAGGTGGATGGATGGAGGGATGGAACGCAAACGGGGGCTTTGAACAAAGCAGGAGGGATTAGGAGATGGGGAAAAAGAGTTGGAGGTTGGGGTGAAGGATTGGGGAGCAGAAATTGAGGGGGGTCTGCTCAGAGGAGGGGATAGGGAGTAATGGGGGATGGGGGAGGAAGGAGTAACAGGGACTGATGGGGTGAAAAGGGGCTGGGGATGGTAGAGAAGGAACTGTGGGGAAAGTGGAGACTCGGAGGAGTGGATGGGGCAGAGCAATGGCTGGGGAGGAAGGAGAAGAGTCCTAAACGTTGTCCTGCTGTTGCTGTCGCATGCCCACATATGTTTGCTTCAAACACTTTGAGCTTTCTCGTGCTCTGGCCCTGGTTTCTCTCCTTGTTCCCAGCTGCCCTGGCTGGGCTTTAACTCCCTGATGTGATCTGTTGGTTTTCCTCGTTTCTGTACTCGTTCAACGAATAAAAGGCTTTAAGACAAGCTGCTGCTGTGTCACATACAAACGCTTTGTGTCAGCCTGGGCGGCTCGCAGGGCACAGCCGCATGGGAACGGGCTGTCCCCATTGTCTGTGCGCAGTGACACGGCTGTGGGGCTGGCAGCGCTGGCTCTGGCCGGCCCTTCCCTGCTCCTTGGTGAAGGGGGGGGTGGGCCTTCCCCCTCCTGGGGGCCAGAGGCTGTGGGTTCTGTTCTGTGGGGTCGAGTCTCAGTGGGGGTTGGGAAGGAGCTTTGCCATTGCCCGGGGGCCCCCTCCAGTGCATGGGGGGGGGAGGGGGGGAGGATTTACGTGCCCCGGGGATTAGCCCTGGCTAAGGGATTAGTGCTGGCGTAGCAGCTCAGCGCCGTTCCCTCCCACCCCCCCCTCCCCGGCCCCCCCCGGCTGAGCCGAGGCCGTCTCCGCACCGCTCCCGGGCCCGGGGGGGTCCCACGGTGTTGGAGGGGCACCGGGGGGCATCAATGACCGCGTGGGTGCGCCGGGCGTGAGAGCGGCTGCGCGCTCAGCCAATGGACACCGCCCTCGCAGTTCTCAGCCAATGAGCGGCGCCTCATTCAGAACTGCCAGCCAATGAGGATTGGGGCGGGGCACTTCCGGGCGGTGGTGCAGTGGATACATAGTAGCGAGCGGCGGGAGTGGGGGGGCGTGGCCTCGGTGCCCATTGCCGCAGGCGGGCGGCTCGGCTCGGCTCGGCTCGGCTCGGCTCGGCTCGGCTCTGATCCGGCCCGGCTGGGTCCTGCTCGGCTCTGACCCGGCCCAGCGCCTTGCCCTGACCCGGCCCGACCCTTCCCGGCCATGCTTTCCGCCCCATGGCCCCTGTGGAGCTCGACGCGCTGGCCGTGCGGGAGCAGCTTTTCCATGAACGTGTCCGCGAATGCCTCGTGAGTCTGGAGGAGGGGGGTTCCGCTGGGGCTGGGGTCTCTCAGGAGGGGTGGAGCTCCCTGTGCTCCCGGTGGCAGCTCCGGGGCTGTGCCCCACGCCCGGGTCTTATCGCGGTCGCAGCTGCACCGCAGCGCTGTGTGCCCGCAGATAGCGGGGCTTGGCGCGGCCCGGGGAGCCGGGGGTGGATGGGGACCCTGGGACCGATGAGAGCCCCCTGTCCCCGTTCCCCTTCCCAAAAGGCAGCGGGTATGGGAGGGAATGGGGCCGGGGCTGTGCGGTGTGAGGGAGCCAATGCTGAGCTCTGGTCTCAGCCCTTCTGTGGGGTAGGGCTGCCCCCGCTGTCTGTGCGCAGTGAGGTTCTGGTTCTGAGGTCCTGCAGAACCCAGCGTGGGATCCCTGGTGTGTGGGAGGACTGGGGCTGCCCAGTTTTGCAGCAGTGTCACAGCTGAGCCAGACCTGCGCCATGTGCCCACGGCCCCTTCCTCACCCCTACACCATCATCTTCTCCCAGGGTGCTCAGTGTCAGTGGAGGACCCCCAGAGCTGTGGGCGCTGTGCAGGGGAGCAGCCCTGGTCCCAGCTCTGCCAACCGGGGCATCCGATGCTATGGGTCAGAGGTGTGCAGGGATGGAAGCGTCGCAGCCCTGGAATCTCCCAGGGGCCTCCAGGGACAGTCAGAGCCACGCGTCCCAGCAGTGCTGCACCTCTCCCAGGAACGCCCGGTTCAGCTCCGCCAGCGTGGAGCCCACGCGACCTTTCAGACTTTCCCGGGCCACGTTGTGGAGCTCTGCCCCGTGGTTACATCAGCACTGCTGGGAGCCCTCGCCCTCAGCTGGGCTGCAGCTGGGATGCTGCTGTCTCATGGATCTTCCCACAAAACCCCTCCCTCACTGCTTTGCTCCGAGGTGTTTGGAGCCCTTTGAGCAAACACACAGCGATGTGTGCTTCCTTCAGTGGGAGCAGGGGTGGAACAGCCCTCAGGGTGCCCAGAGTTGGGCTGATCTCAGTGCTCTCTGCCACCCTACTGGATGGGCGCTCACCCCTGGGACCCCCAGCTGAGCCCCTAATATGAAGGACACCCAGGCAGGAGGGAGGTGTTGGTGGTGCTGGTGCCAAGGCATTGGGTTCAGGCGACCTTTCCCCCTTTTGCTGAGTACCCACAGGGATGAAAGGTCGCAGTGTTCCTCGAATGTCGCCTGCTTGGGCTGGAGCTCAGAGTGCCAGCGGGGGTGGGAGGGACAGACAGACACTGCGGTCGGCCTTGGTGCTGGGCTCAAGGCTGTGCCTGCAGCCCTGCTGGGTGCCAACAGTGCGAGGGCTGCAGGGTCGGGGTGTTCCATGCAGCCAAGGCTGCTGCTGGTGCTCACTCTGCACTCTTAGCTCACAGGGGGTGAGCACCCAGTGGGTGAGCCCTGGGTGCAGCCCATGCATGTTTATGGGGAGAGAACAGGGTTAGGAAAACAAAATAGGGGGGAGCTGATGGGATCTGGGGATGTCAGCATTCCTTGTGGGGGGGAGTGCTGCCCTCTGAGGCCGCCCGCTGTGCTGCTGTGCCTGCAGATCTGTGCCCTGCTCTTCGCCAGCCTCTACATCCTCTGCCATTTTGTCATAAGGCACTTCAAGAAGCAGACAGATTTTGCAGCAGGTAGGAGGATTCGCTGAACCAAACCCCTCAGGCTGCTCCTGCTCTTCCCTGCCCCGATCCCAGTGCGGCTCTGGTCCCTGTGGGGTGTCCCACTGTAGGGCTGAGGAGCAGAGTCCCACCTCCATCCAGAGCTCTTCTGAGTTCTGCAGCTTTGTTTGCAGCAGAGAGAGGGGCTGGAGAAGGCATCAGAGTGGGGAATAGCAGGGAGCCTTCCTGCTCATTTGTTTCTTTTCCTCTGCAGTGCACGATGATGAGGATGCTGCTGTCAACAGGATTGCGTAAGTTCCTCCCATCTCTCTTCCCCTCCTTGTCCGGATGGGGCACCACGTTCTCCTGTCCCCTGGGGGGGGACCTTGAGCTCTGACACCCACACGGGATCCCTCTGACAGGTTGGGGCTGTGCACCTTCACCCTGGCCGTGGCATTGGGTGCTGTGCTGCTGCTCCCCTTCTCCATCATCAGCAACGAGGTGCTGCTCTCCTTCCCCCACAACTATTACATCCAGTGGCTGAATGGGTCCCTCATCCACGGTGGGTGCACAGGGTGGTCCTGGGGTGCTGAGCTCCCCCCATCCTGCATTAGGACCTCACCCCATTCTGCCCCCCCTTGCCTCCCCCAGGCCTCTGGAACTTGGTCTTTCTCTTCTCCAACCTGTCCCTCGTCTTCCTCATGCCCTTTGCATACTTCTTCACGGAGTCAGAGGGATTTGCAGGATCCAAGAAGGTACGTGGCCCCACGGGTGCTGTCCCCCTCCCTGCACCCCCCCAGCTCTGTGCTGATCCCTGTCCTGTAGGGCATCATGGCCCGTGTGTATGAGACGTCGGTGGTGCTGCTGCTGCTGACACTGCTGGTGCTGGGCATGGTCTGGGTGGCCTCTGCCATCGCTGGTAACGACGCTGTGAGCCGGCAGTCCCTCTATGGTGGGTGCTGGGGGTGTGGGGGGGGGCAGAGGGGTGGACAGTGGGACAGCACTGGGCTGAATGTTGGGAGGAGTCTATGGGGCCCTCCTATGTCCTGACCCCCACCCCTCCTGCTCTCCACAGACCTCTGGGAATGCTACCTGCCCTACCTCTACTCCTGCATCTCGCTCTTTGGTGTGCTGCTGCTGCTGCGTGAGTGCTGGGATGTGAGCAGGGCGCAGCCCACGGCTCCACCCTGAGGTGGTGGGGCTCTGCTGCTGCCATGGGGAAGGGTTGTTGGGTTCACCCTCTGCTCTCCCCCTCAGTGTGCACCCCGTTTGGCCTCTCCACCATGTTCACCGTCACCGGGAAGCTGCTGGTGAAGCCCCGGGTGAGCCGTCCCCTCCATGATCCCACTGCTGTGGGTTGGGGTCTCAGTGTCCCCAGCGCCATGGGGCTGCCTGGGGTATGACATGCATGTCCCTGATGGCTCCTGCCCGTCCCCAGCTCCTGGAGGACCTGGATGAGCAGCTGAGCTGCACGAGATTTGAGGAGGCTGCCGTGTCCCGCAGGATCACATCTGGTGGGTGCCCACGGGCAGGGGGATGGCGTGGGGTGCCACGGGGACCTGCGTTGGTGCCACGGGGACCCCACGAGCCCCACGCTGTCCCCACACTGCAGGGAAGGCTTCCTGCTGGCTGAACCTGAACATGGCACTGCTGCGGGAGCAGCTCCTCAGCATCCGCAGCAAGAGGAAGAAGCTGGGTGAGGGGCTGGGGGGGGGCACTGGGAGTTTCCATGTTGTGGAGTGGGGTGGTAATGTGCTCCCTCCAGAACTGCGGCACCGAGCATCACCCTGGCAGAGGAACGTGGGCTACCCGCTGGCCATGCTGGGCCTCCTGGCTCTGACGGTGCGTGTCTCCATCCCCTCGTGTGCCACAGCCCCCTGTGGATGCCCTAAATCTCCCCTCCTCTTCTCAGGGCATCTCAGTGCTCATCGTCTGCTTCCACGTCCTGGAGCTGCTGCTGGATGACACTGCAATGCCACGGGGCATGCAGGTACCCGGGGGTGGGGGGAGGACAAAGGGGTGGGTGGGGGTACAGCAAGGAGGAGCCCCATCCTTGGGCAGAGCCCCTTCTATGTGCCCCCTCCTGCAGGACACAGCCCTGGGCCAGGTCTCCTTCTCCATCCTTGGTTCCTTTGGAGCTGCACTGCAGGTTGTCCTCATCTTGTATCCTTTGTGCAGACACTGGGGGCTCCCATCCCCCGCCCCCTCCTCCCCCCGTTTCCCCCCCCCTTTCCCCCTCTCTCCCTGCTGTCCCCTCTCTGTTCTCTCCTTAACACCTCCTCACAGTTACCTGATGCTCTCCTCCGTCGTGGGTTTCTATAGCTCCCCACTCTTCACACGGCTGCTCCCCGAGAGGCAGGACACCCCCCTGACCAAGGTGAGACCCCCCCCTTTCACCATAGAGCCGTGTTATGGGGCCGTGCAATAGGGCAGCACCTCTTCTCCTCCCCAGATCATCGGGAACTGCGTCTCATTGCTGGTGCTCAGCTCCGCCCTGCCCGTCTTCTCCAGGACGCTGGGTGAGATGTGGGGCTGTAATGGGGGTGGGGTTGGGGAGGGGGGTTGGGCACCTCCTGACCCCCCCTTCACCCATAGGAATCACTCGCTTCGACCTCCTGGGGGATTTTGGCCGCTTTAATTGGTTGGGGAACTTCTACATCGTCTTCATCTACAATATGGGCTTCGCGGCGCTCACCACCCTCTGCCTGGTGAAGAGGGTGACGTGGGCTGTGCAGGAGGAGCTCATCCGTGCCTTTGGTGAGGAGGGGGGCA